GAATACCTAATTCTGATCCGATACCAAAATTAGGTGTTGATCAGCATGACATAAGTTTACCATACCAAAGAATAATACCAAAAAAATGCATGCAAAATACTTTGTAAATAACAAAAATTGATATTTGGATACCAAAATAATACATGTGTGGTATTGTTTTGGTATTGCATTATCATAATTTGGAATTGGAATGGTATCGTGGGCACATTTTTTTTTAGTATTATTTTTTTGGTATTTTACCTCCATACCAATTTAAGGTATCGAGATATTCGTTCCCGCTCGGATTTAGGTAGTGATGAACGTCGCTAGAACTATTCCACAGACGCAGACAGTATATGAAATGGTAAATTTTTGTTCGCCCCTCCCTAGCTCGAAACCTGGTTACACCCTTGTGTCGCACTATTATCGCACTAAAACTTCATGTTGATATTAGTATAGCAATTCCTCCCAACTCAGGTGGTCAATCTCAGGTGGTGTATTCACTTGAGCTGGAATGACCCGTTTTGAAAATTTAATACCAATACAATTGAGCGTATTTACCATTTCAAAGCACATGCTTCATATACTACTACGGCTCTATCGCTAGATCGATTTCAAACTAGAACAGGTGTAAAATTTTAATATATAAATATTGTTGATTTATTGGTTTTGGGCCTCTAAATGCCCTAGTTAGTGAAGGTGCGATGTTATAGGGTTTATGTGCCTAATGTAATGCTCAAGACGAAGATTTATAGATAAATTAGAGCCATTTCCCTATATCTCGTCAAATTCATCCATCACACTTAGCCAAAACTTTTTGCGTAGAAAACTGATCAAAAATTTTAGTTAAAGGTGATGTTTACAAATTTTTACATTTTCAATGTGTCCATTGTGAAATTTAAAAAAAAATTAGATTTTTTGTTAAGCTTTCAAATTGAAAATAATTTAAAAGTATTGAAAAAATGTTGTTTTACATTTTTAACATTTATGATTCAGCGGCGCCGGTTATGTAGTGGTAAGCGTGATTACCTCTCACCCCAGCAGGCCTGGGTTCAATCCTAGTCGGTGCCGCCGGGATGTTCTGAGGCTTAACATCTCTGATCACGCCTTCCTTCGGAAGGGAAGTAAAGCTGTTGATCCCCGGTTGCGTTGATGAGTCGAAAGGTAGGGTCCAGGTGTGGGAGCTGCCTCCCTGGTATCGGTAGCATTGGTGCTCAGCACGGAAAACAAGATCGACGGAAAACAAAACAAGAAAAAAAACATTTGTGATTTTTATCTGAAAAGGTCATCTATTTTCTTACAATAATGTGTCAGACGTTGTTTCAAAATACAAAGTTTCATAGTAATCGGATAGGGTAAAGTCTGAAATTCGTTTTATTTAGCTATTTGGCCTGGATTTGCTCATATATTTTAAAATTATTTTGCCAAGTATTTAACTTTTCTGTAGGTTCTTATTAAGATATTAATATCCCAAATTATCAGATAAATTGGTAACATCCCGAAAACAAAATATGTCAAGGTTGGAAAAATTGTATGAACAATGGAGAACTATGATTTTTTCAAACGCCACTTTATGTATTCCTTCATTCCAAGAAAATTTAAAAAATATATAACCCCAGAGACAAGTTTTAAATGGCATAAAAACACACACTTTCAGTATCAATTACGATACAAAAATCCACAAAACAAATACGTATCATCGTTCTCCATCGTTTTAAACCTCTTCCGCATGGTCTCCGGGTAACAACAGAGACCATAGACTAGCCTAGGTCGTTAAAATGGACTGTAGGGTTTCATATCACCTGATATCCATCTCTGTCAGTGAAATCTCGCTGACGCATGGAAGCTACTCGGCTATACTGGCTCCCGAAGACGGATAAGAATCAACGGACGACGACGACGACGACGAGACTACTTAGTCCGCAGTGAGAGAGAAAAGAGCCAATACCCAAAGCCACTCACTCATTGATATCATCCGAGCGAGACTAATTGGCTTGATTTGACGCAAGATTTCCAATTCACGCCAGTCAGTCACCGACACACATATGGGCAGGCACCTTCATACTTTTCAACTTGCTTGAGGAAGCCGATCTTAGGGGCTTTTATTGCTCCCCAAGATCATTCATAGTGACAGCATCAATGAGTTTGTTTATTGAGTTGTCAATTCGAGCCAGGGATTATGGCTCATTATGTGAAAATGTAACACATTTGAAGATACTTTGGACGAGAAATTTTGGGATAGCAGAAGCACAACGCCGTATGCATTACACTAACTATTTTATTTGTATAAATCACAGCAGCGTTGTTGGGAAGGAACAATGTTGATTTTGTTAAGTAATACTTGCCTATACTATAGAGGGACTCATTAGCCAGAAAGCCGAGATTGTCCTCCCACAGTCTTCTATGACTTTCACTTGTATTTCCACAAAGCTTAATTAATTCAAAATCATCGCCCGGTATGTACGAGGTTTCAACGACCGGGTACGAATGTGACATCTTCGCCTGAGGCTTTCTCATACGCCTCGGCCTCCCCTTAGACATGGAGTGCCGATAGTCCATCACGCACCTCTACTACATTACAACACCATTATTTTGTTTATTTATGGACAAAGTCGTCGTGTTTGTTTGCTCGTTTTTTATTGACTTTGGTTCTCCGATTTAGTGTATGACCGAACTTTTTTCTTTGATAAAGTGTGTTTTCCTTCTATTTAGACTGTTTCGTCTCACGACCGTCTGAACATGTGAATCCACTCCCTGCTCGTGTGTGTTGTGTCTACTTTTTGTGGTGATTGTAAATACATTCTTAAGTAGTCATGGAACAGGTTGTCGCTGTGATTGAACCGACAGAAGCAATCACATCGTACCCCCTCGAGTTCCATGCGTTGACATATCGAGATGCAAACTGAACCGGTGCGGGCTGGTTGGATCTCTTCTTCGATGGCCAACTTACTTCATGATCCAATATCAGCGGAGCTAATTTTATTAATTAATGTCATTTTATGGGATCCGCTACACGGCAAACTTCATACTCTCGTTTAGCCATATGAATTATTATATCAGCTTTTCAGCAGCATCGGCAATGCTTGCACTGCGTAAATGGATTTCACGCGAGTTTACATGAAATAAGAATGCCGACGCGACTTGAGCAGACTTGAGAGTGTCCCAGTCGATAAAAGCGCTACCGCCGTTGTACAGAAGCGCCTGATCAACGCAATCCGGTTTGCATCCGTGCGGTCATCCGAAGCATAATCAATTTGGACTTCGAGTTTTCCCATTAACAACGCTTGATAATGCGTGGAGGGTAAATTTTAAACAGTCGGTTAGTAAGCTGAAACTGCTTTTGTATGGCGTACTTCGATCCGTTGGCCCCTATTCGGTTCATCCTACTTGGCTAGATGTTTATTTACTATGATTATCCCTACACAGCTTACTTCGTTTGCACATTCTACAGGAACACACGAGGCAGGTAAGACGGAACTGATAATAACTTTTGTAAATAAACTTCGAATTTTGGAAACACATCAAACCATAGGGTTACCCCAACGTCAAGAAAAAATATAGTCCCAACTCAATGCGACCGATTCTATGTAACGCTCACATACGTGACCAATAGGTAAATAATGATGGCAGTGCACCAATCGCAGACCTTTGAACAATTTTAATTACTATTGTCAAATGGTTGTACTAAAAATACGAATGTCTGACAATTGTTGTTCATGCAGCGTAGACAACCTACGGCCAGTAAAATTGAGAAAAAAAAACACATACTATTGTGGTAAAACCCCACAAGATTTACGATACCCGTCTTAGATCAACAACAACACTATAGTATAGATAACGATCGATTCAAAGAACCAAACGCATTACTTTTGTTTCCACTTGATCTAGATTACAAGGGCTTTGTAGATTCAAAAGTGGGTATGTTCAGATTGATCTAATTTCGAATTCAATGTAAGAAATCATGCTGCAAAAATACGCTTATCTGATCGGCTCATCTAGTATGCCTTGGTTTTTCTCCGCACGAATCGAACGGGTTGATTTGTGTTCCACTACCTCCCTCACTTTTTGTCGCTCTCTGAGCTTGAGAGTCACCATGTGAGAAATTCGAAAAAAAAAACATAATTTATCGAAACGAAAACCCTACTCCTGGATGCATGTCCCCTCCGGAGAGATGTGACGACGGTGTTGTCGCATTAATGCATACATGAGCATTTCGTTTTCGGAAGGGCCGACCCGACAGACATCTTGAGGTATTTAAATTCGGTATGGTGTGTCACCGCCAGCAGACAAGATGCAAATTTATTACAGTATGTGAAGTGATCAATCAAGGATGGATTATATCGATTTGGTTTCAATATGTGACAACTCTAAGCTGAACTAATGTTACAGCTTGTCTCGTTTCACTTTCGACCAGAAATAGCACCGAGATGCTGAAAGGGTTATGAGTTAACCGCAATCATTGAAAAGACGATTCGTTTCAGCATTAAGCAACCGTATAGGGTAGCTTTCCTCCAAAAATTCCAAATAATTAATATCGTATAATTTTATAATTCAATTTGGTAAACACCAAACGATCATAAATCATAATCGTGTGTCGATACTTTGTATAGGTAATTTGAACAGAAAAGCAAACACCAGAATACATATTTCCCTGGCTGGATGACTTAAGACGGCATTTAACATTGGCTCCAAATATTGAACAACATTTTGATGAATGATTAATGACAACATTTCTTCTCTATCTTTTTCCAACGAAAAATTACCAGATCTCTACAAGCGAATGCCTGCCTGCTCCTTTGTACATCAACCTGTTAAACGTAGTAATGTATTTAAATATATGCAATATTTTAATATCGCCTGGTATGTCAAAGAGATGGCGCCAAAATAAATAAAAAAGATAAATAAAATTTGCCCCTTCCCAGCAGCTCTACTCTTAGGCCCCACACGAGCGCACGAGTGTGTCAGTCAGGCTCGGTGAATGCGCGCACTTTACCAGGTCCCACCTGGCCACGGCTGACCAGAGCACACAGTGTACGTTTTCCGTCGACTGACCTGCTCCGGCTCATCACGCATCACAGCAGGCTTTGAATATTCAATAGGTACAAACTATGGACACTAGATTTGTGATGATCGATCCTCGCCCTCCTTCACACATGCTCCTTTTCTTCATTTACATCTTTTTCAATAAAATAGGTGATAATGAAATTATTATTACGCTATCATCGAACACAAGCTGCACTGCTTCCTGCGGTGTCCAATGGAACAGGTTGGAATTCCTGAGATGCCTGCGGAAAGTCAAAGCTCATATTTCAAAATATTTATCAATGTTATTATTTACGAACCGGTTTAGTCGAACTTTGAATTCCCTTACGTCCAGGTGAGAAATATTCGAATAGAGACGGTATAGCATGTTGTGATTCAGCAAGGTGAGCTCATTGCTCTACCCGTTAACGGATTGAACACTGACTCGCTTTCCTGTCTGGATGCAGTTGTGATTGTTTGTCTTTACTGACTAAATTAAAATACTTGTTACTTTTTCGAGGACTCTTGCTTACTGTTTCGAACAAATCTCCACAACTTTTCAATTAAGGTAAAGCAATAGTTCGGCCTAAGCACCCCAACTTTGCTTTAGCTTTCGACATATGTGCTTTACCAAAGTTGTAGCTGGGCCATTTTCAAACTAATTTGTTGATGAAACATTTTTTCTATCTCTTATCGTTCTCGTTTTAAAGTAACTTACTCAGGGTGTTACTGAAAAAAAAATAGAAGTTTGATCTCTAAGCCTTTCATGTAAAATTTGTCGTGAAATTTGTCTCCAAGGAACTTTTGGAACTTATGTTTTTTTTTTCGATCAAAGTAAATCAATATCTCTTAAAGATCACGCAATATTAACGATTTTCTTTATAAAATACGGCCTTCTCAAATGGGCAGATACACATACATTTTCTAGTTAGCATAGTTTGAAGTATATTATTCGAAACAAAATAGATACCTATACGGTTTTTGTTAAAATCATATAAAACAAATTCGACTTTATTTATGTTTTTTTTTTAATAAAATTGCCTACTTTATTAAAAGAGATACAGACACTTTTTGCAAAACGTGCGTCTTAAGAAGCTTCAGAAGTAACTTTCATGAGAAATTTGAAATAAAACAGTTAATGCTAAAAAACTAAGTTTTTCAGGAACACCGTAACTCAATTGCGTAAAATTACACTAAAACCAAAATGTTAAGAGTTAAAAAAATGTTTCTTAGACAAAGATGGTTAAAATTATCACAACTACAACTTTGCTAAAGAACATATGTCTTTATTTTAAAAAATAATAAAAATTCAGTTTTTAAATATCCATTAATTTAAGGGCCCTGTTGTTTATAAACACCAACAGAAGGGTCTTTTCAAACACAAAACGTTATTGAAGACACCAAGCATCTAAACAATGAAACAAAAAACTTGCTCTTTTTATTTGAATTTGTCGTTAGGATGTCCCTCTGAAAACCATATTTTGCCTGTAACTTTTAATTGCAAATTTCTCATGAAAGTCGTCATCTTCGAGGGACTTTTTAATCTTTTTTAAACATCTTTAATCGATGTTGTCTCGAGTTAGTGTCAATAATTATAATGAAAGATATTTTTTTTTTCATACCATAAGGCCGCCATTACGAAGTGTTTTACAGTGAAAAATATTCAATGTGTTATGTTTGTGGTAATATTTTCAAAATTAGAAAAGCTCCCTCTTTAGCATGGTGAAGGTTTCGGGAATGCCAATTTAGCTTGTTTTCATGTTATTCTCCGATTAGAATGCAACTTTGCATAATTGTTAGTTATGGGTAATCATTCACATTTGTGCTAAAATTCAGCCATTTTGAATCTTGCATTTTTTTTTAAATGGCGTGTCCGTGTGAAAAATAAATTGATAAAAAAAACAATAAAATTGACCAAAATCGTCAAACACAAACTTTTGATCATGTTTTTGTAGTACGCTTATTTTTGATATTTTTTTACAGAAAAAAAAACTTTTAATCGTTTTCTATGACAAAATTACAAATATATTGCACATAAACAGAGGTGAAAAAAATTACCAAAAGTTGTTGTTCTTTGATTTTTGTCAATTTTTAAATATCTTTGGCGCGTGAGCTGCTTTTTATTTGATAACAGTGTTATTTTAGGGGCTGTTCACTAACTACGTAGACAGCTTTTCGGTATGCTTGACCCCCCTCCTCCCCATGCGTAGACAATTGTCCATATAAAATTTTTAAAATTTGTATGGGCCGTGGATAATTGTCCACCACCCCACCCCTCCCCCCCCCCCCACGCGGAAATAGTAGAAAAATGCTTGCTATGAAAATTCCTATGTGCACAATCACATTGTTTTGGTTTGTTTGAACATTTTAGACGTTTTACTCGTATAAACACAAAGGACCGAAGTACAGATCTGCACTGTTTTGGTTTTTCTGATACTTCAGACGTTTGTCTTGATGAACATAGTCAAACGTCTTATGTAACAGTGAAACATCGTTAATGCAAATTTTGACTTCAGATGTTTTGTTAATTTAGAATTTTCTCAATTCAATTGACATTAATCTGAATGTGTGTGTGTGCATAATGTTCTTAGGTACAAATGTTACAATGTGCATTTATAAACTCGATTTGTTTACATTTGTTACTTAGGACCTTTTGAAAAGTAAGGCGAGATTTTTTTTAGAAATATGAATCCTAAGTAGACGTGTTTTTTTTTATCAAAGGCAAGTGTCACTCGAGCCATTAGGTTTCCATTAAGGAGACAGCATATTCCAAAACTAAGGTTTCCTTTCGATTATAGCATGTTCCCGTTCAGGCTATGTACTATGATTATTTAGACTATTCGTTCCGTCGCATCATCTTGCTACGATGACGACGACGCGTCGGACATGTGCACCACCTTAATACAGGATATGCCGGTTGGGGAAACTCAGCGGGAAGCAAACAGAGATAAAAATCTTGACCACATCTCGCGCGCCGTATCAAAATCTCAGAACTGTCCAGGCCAGACAAGAAGAATACAAACAGCAAAACGTGGCCCAGTGTGCAAAACATACAGCCGACTTACCGTTCCGCGTGAGGCAGATAAAATCAAACATCCATTAAAATTTCCAATAAATTAAACAATTAGCATCAATTTGCAGATTATCATTTGTTGCTGCTCGGGTCCATAATGCTGTTAGGTCGGATTATATAGAGAATATATCAAACAATAGTTGAAGTCCATTATAAAAACTTTATACCTACTTTTCACATTACCGTCTCTCTGAAGTGTATGGATGGGAAGCTGTCGCGTGCGCTGATGCAGTACAACAGAGACGGTACCGGCCAGGGCTGCCGCTTCAATCCTTCATTCGCAGCACACACACACACACACACACACACACACACACACACACACACACACACACACACACACACACACACACACACACACACACACACACACACACACACACACACACACACACACACACACACACACACACACACACACACACACACACACACACACACACACACACACACACACACACACACACACACACACACACACACATACACACATACACACACACACACACACACACACACACATACACACACACATAGGTACGCGAATTTACCTATAGCAGTAACAAACGAACTTGATGCAAAATAATTAAAATAAACTTTTTATAGATAGATACGGATTAGGAAATCACCTTTAGTTAAATCTAAACGGAAAATGTATTGATCATCATTGATCGAATTTGTAAAGTTGAAAAAGTAATTTTACATTGATCCGCTCCATCCATTATCATGTGGCAAATGATGCGGACAAGCGCAGCAACAGCCACACGACAAATATTTTTCGTATCTCTGTCTTCTCTTATTCTGCGCCTTCTTAATGTATGCAATCCGTAACCGCATGTATGGGAAAAGATTATCAATACTCAATTTAAAGCATCATTTGATTGCATATCTTTTAATGGCACGTGTCCTCATCTGCTCGCATGGTCTTATTGCGGCTCTAAGTTGGTCGCACGCGCATCGCTCTCTCAGTAATTTTAATTGGAATATAATTTACTACATTTCTCAGCAATTTTGAAACGCAGATTAAAATCAGCAATATCAATTTCAACATAATTAATTTGTATATCGAACATCATCATTAAGACAGTGATCTTAGCTTCCGCAGTGCGCGCAACTGATGTCATTATACTTAGGTATACCTTGCCAAGTACATACGCTCAACCAACATCCAATGAATGGTGGATCTAATCTATTATAAGAGATAGTGGCGATGACAATCGCAGTGCTTTCGTCTACAAGCCGGAAATTATATCATTTCCCTTAAAATCTAGTATAGTTTAATTATCCTTTTGCCTGGATGCGATGTAAGCTCGTTTATGTCCTCTGCAAATTGTCAATCAGACTCACTAATCATTTTTGAGCGACAAACAGTTTCACCTATCATACTCAATTAACTTACCACACGAAACGTGCAGTTTCGCCGGCTTGAGAAACCTGAAGTAGTTTCTAAAATCTTTCTCCGAACAAACGTAGACCCTGGCGGCAGTATAATTCCTCAGAACTTGAATGGAAGTACTTCTGCCATTATGAATACCTGTCCTCTAGACTATGATCGAATTTCATGTTGCAACAGGTCGGATCGAGGCAGCTCAACAACAACTAATCTAAGCTTGTGGCAATTCTCTCGAACGTTGAAAGGCGTAGTTTACGGCATTGGCAAACAACAATAGAAAGCAATAAACAACCTTAGCTAGTGGCGTAAGTAATTCCAGTTTTTTTTTTGTTTGTTTATATTTATATTTCTCCAAATCACAAATTCTATAGGCCACTAATGTGCTTTTGTGAAACAATCACGTGCGATTGCGTATTAAGCTTTATTGCCACCAATCATCACTGTCGGCTTTGCGGCTTCTCTTGGCAACTTGGAAGAGTATCTGCCTGTAATTGAAAACGTAAAATAAACACCGAGCCTTACACAGTTAAAAAAAGTTATGTAAATTTATGTCACTATGATGCACATAAATGGAGCGTTTAAATTATAGATAGTGTAAATTGATGAAATGTTTCATGAATTGATCCAAATATTGTAAGCAACCATCCATCTTTGTAAGCAAAGTTGCAAGTTTACGTAAAAAGGAAGTTTACATGCATATATGTTTGCATACTTGAATATTAGCATTACTATAAAATTCAGAATTTTTTTCTCTTTACTTTTGCAGGATCAATTAACTGAACACAAATGAACATAACGTTTTGGTAAAAATGTTATGAGTGAACTAATATGGTATTTTACTAAAAAGCTTGAAATAATTTTTGCACCTTTTTTGACTACCACTTATGTTTTTTTTTTTTTTTTTATTTAACATATTTAATATGCAATGTTTTACTGTTTTTTTTTTTAATCCTGTCATATTGATTATTTCTTCTGAAGCTATATTTTGGCACGAGTAGACGAAAATAGCAAATCAATAGTAAGTTTTACTTTTAAAATTGGGGAACAGACCATCGAAAATTGCTATTAGTTTGATTAATATAAGAGGCAAAATATCAAAACTAATATCACAAAATCTATGGAACTAAGTAAAGCAAAGTCAGTTGTTGTCATATCTACTCGGGATATCAATAGCTTATTCTGCTATCAGATCAAAATTAGTTCTTGAATTCTTGACACCAAAATAGCATAGCTATAGCAAATTATGTTTTGATAGCAGAGTCAACTATAAACTTGTTATAGCGTACAACTTACCAATACCATAATAAGATATTGATTGTAATTTTTTTAATTATTTTGCTCTGGTTTTGTTATAACCCTCTACCCGGGTTCAAACATCTAATCAAGACATCGTTGAAGCTGTAGAACATCAAGATCGGAACTCCACGATTGTTTAGAGAATCGCTGTTATTTATTAGCTCAACTGTAAATCTATCAACATATGATTAATTCGTTGACTTTGTTGAGCATGCCAAACATCAAAATCCCAGAATACATCCAAGATTCCGAAATACTTTGTCATTTCAACTATGTATCTCAGATTGTGTTTCAAGGTTCGCTTTTGGGTCAAAGATCTACCCGGAACAAGAAGTCATTGAGCCTTCAGAATATCTAGATCAGAAATTTTGGGAATCATAGATATTTTGTTAATACAACTATATGCCCTGACATGATGTACTTGCCTTGATGGATTATTCTGAAGTGATGCGTTTGGTTATCATTAATTTAAGCAATTTTTTGTTTGGCTCGTATTGTATACATATCCTGAATAAACAATACGGATAAGGCGGGATCAGAGATTTTATGCCTCAGAGATTCCCGACGGCACCGACTGGGGTTGAACCCAGGCCCTTTGGAGTGAGAGGCAGTCACGCGTACCTCTACACAACAAATTTAATCTAGCTTAAACTAAAACTAATTGACTGATGAGTCTTACTATGTACTTTAAATCGATTACAATGCACAACTAATAGGAAGCGTTTTTCTGTATCTTTTCAGAAACTTTCACCATAGAAGTATTTCAGTTGGAGAAAAGGAATTTTACTATAGGAGTAGCCATACGTTGCGAAGAAACAGATATGTACTTATGTTTCGACAAAAACTGGAAAATCAAAGGCATGGTAAGTAGTATGCATTTAATTTCACCTGATTTATTAGTTTGAGGGCTACGTCTGGTGTCATCATTACCTGAGAAAGTTTAAGCGAACGAATCGAATAGTAAAGACGAGAATTGAACACAATCAGCATGAATCCGCCACTTTATATTCTTCTGGCAATTTATCTGACTAGAAAACAAAGAAGGATCACTGCTTTCTGAAAATTAGGTCATAAATCTGATGCTGTAGTTCGCCAGAACTGTCGCTTCGGGATTAATCTTTTGTAATAGATAACATGTCACTTGGCCAAGCGCAATTAGTATAGTGTAGGTGCGAAGGAATAAGACAAAACGAGATAGAAACAAAAAAAAGGACACATCTCAAGCCCATCAAGGCCATCTCAGGTAAAGATGACACAATGTTGCGAATTGTATTCCAACAATGCGGACCAACCAAGTTGTAAAACGAGTGTTAAAATGTTTCACGCTGAGCATATGAAGTCTTATGAATGTTGGGAACAAGCATGGGTACGTTAAATTAAACAGTGTTTTTCGCTTTTCTCTTTGTTTTCAGAAAAACAAAAACAATATTGCAAATCGTCCACGTTGCCACTTCTACGAATCCCTCAAGCGAGGATACTTTCGCTATCAATCGGTTATGAATCAGACAAAGTATCTCGGTTTCGTCGGCAGCGGTAAACCAATCAACTACAAAGCGAAACGTCACATTGACGAAAAGTGCTACAACTTCCAACGTACGAATGCATCCGCACTTCCCTCAGTCTTTTTCGGGTACAATAACAGCAGTAGGAGCGCAAGTACGACGAAATCCCCTCATCCACATCGGCACAAGCACGGTATGAGCGATCAGAAAAGGACGCGCGGCAAATTCAACTCACATCGAACACAGAATCTCGCCGATCAAGGAGCTTCATCTTCACAGCTACCTCCTTCAACCAACAACGTTGAGCGCCCGACGCGACTGATAACTTCATCGGTGCCATCATATCGAGTCGCCGCTGTCACACAGATGAGCAATGATGTGCACACTACAACCCAAAAACCGTCGAAAGTTGCAAGCACGAAGAAGCAAGTCAAGCCTTCGAAACGACACGGGAAAACTAACAGGCAGAAGCTCAGCTTGTATGGAAGTAGCAATAGTACTAGTAGCAGCAGTAGCAGCACCAGACAACACCATCGTCATCACCACGATAATAGGAATAGCAAACTGGGTTCTGGAAGGACAATGCCAACTGCATCCAGTTTTTAACGACTGCTAGGAACGACTTTGTGCATAAACCTTTCTCTCTATCGTAAAACAGGAAATCGTCGGACGCAGTAGACAAAATCGCGGGGAAACAGTTATCTATGGATTGCTGTAGCTTTCCGATTCCGCCACCTTTATCTCTCTGTCATCTCAATTATCCGTGTATGTCCGTGACAGATTACTTGAGATGGATTAGTTTCGTATTAGAATGTTACAAAACCGGGAAAGCTTTATTAGAATTAAATTGAAAGTAAGCATCAATGCATCCTAGAGGTTTATTAAACAATTATATCAAACAATTGCCAAACATTCTACATAAATGTTTCCGCTAATTGTCTCAAAAGTATTAATTGTGAAATGACTGACAACATACATACAAGAAAAAAACCCGTGTTTAGCACATGAATATTGGTAGCAATGTGTTTGTATTTGCGCATTGCAGTAAAAGCACTAAAACCATAGATCACAAGCATATTAGGAATCGCTGAGCTTTTAGATGCCTTAATCGGTGTATATTTGTACAACTCTGTAGACATATATGAGGACAAATCGTGTGAATAAGGCCAACAGAATATGCAATTCACAAAGCCTACAGTGGCATCTACGTTAAATGCATCAACAATGTTTTTGAATCCAATGTTCATAATTTCGGAACATGCTTTTTTCGAATTCCATTATTTCGAGATATTCCGCCTCTCAAACCTAGCATGACTCACCACAAGTTTTATACAAAGTATGAACTTTGTGATAAACTTGTTTCTTTGATTGTAAATATTGTACTAATTGGTGTTTTCGAATTGTATTATAATTTTATCGATTTTCACCGTGCCATTTACTGACGATTGTAGCCTTTTATTAGGTTTTGTTCGATCAAGATTTCAAAAGCCCCATCTCTTTTAATTTCATTTTCTCGAAGCAAATAAAACAGCCACGAGTCTATCAATAAGGTCAACAATAATCCTTGTTAATGAAAACTTGCACAAAAAAGATGTGACTTAATAATGATCGTTAGTATGTGTATTTATGCGAAAATGTTTAGAGCGCAAATCAACAAAACGCTATTTACAATAATGATAACACAAGAATTGTAAACACAATAGACTCATATTAAATTAAAAAAAATATGAATACGCAAATCCACTGCTTAAAATCGAACCGCAAAAAAAATACTGAGTATACCCAAATCTCAAATAATATATGAATCTCACTAAAAGCTCCAGTGAGCGTCAGAGCTGAAAACATAATTTATTGCTGCATATAAAATTATAACATCCGCAACCATTTGGAACCGTATGTAGCTACTTAATTGAAATAACGGCTAATAAACCGATTAAGTAAATCCCATTCTAAACGAAGCGCAAAATTTGTATGTTCTGAAGCATGTTATATCCCTATTCAAAGTCGACACAACTGTAAAAGTATTAAATTAGTTTTAGAACAACAATCGGAAAAACGTTACAAATTGACCCCACTCACATTCTCAAAGCACAAAGTTTGGATGATAACCGACAATAGTGAATGTTGTTTACGTTAAACATTACTGCCAAAAGTAGAACAGAAAACCTAAAACACAATACTCTTCGTTAGATTGTACCCATTTCTGCTAAATATTTGGACAACGCATATAACAAGTGTAGACATCACTAGTCGACCGGAATCGTTCTGTATTTTCTTCATGTTTGTTCGTGGAAAAATTCAAATGTTCCGATCTATTCTAAATTTATTCGTACGAGTGCGAAAATAGCACCCTTATTTCAACATTCCACTAGACATAACGAAATAAGTCATTTGTTTAAGATTTGTACAGCTATCCAATTAAGTAACGAAAAATAAACGCTGCATCGTTGTAAAAGTGTGTAATCGTCGGATCAACATGGACAAGAATCAAACAGATCCTAATTTTGCCATGTACAAAGTGTTGTGTCTATTTTGTCATCATTTGTACCATAGCAGCATCTTCTCATCATTTATACACACAGTCCAGCAACAGTGGAATAGCCAGTTTTGGTTTTTTTTTTATTTAAAAAAAAATAGCCAGCTCAGACATTTTCCCTTTAATAATTACTTTAAGTTTCCTCGACCACAACCGTGCTGTTGTATTCTGTTCGGCACAAAAGTCACTTTTGCAGCATTCAACACAATCCGTAGCCAAATGTGTCCGTGTTTGTGGATGCAAGGCACAATGTTGAGAGGAAACGAGCTATAAGAATTTGCATTGTTATAAATGTATATCATTATGAAGCTTTCGGTTAAGAAGTAATTTTCGGTTTTCTTTGATAACTACGGTTGATATCGACTTTAGTGAGTAAGATTATAAGTACGAAAGGTAGTATTTGAACAAAATGACAAACATATTATATTTTTTTTAATGAAAATGTATCAAAATAAACTGATTAAAAGTTTAGTTTTAACTTATGAGTACACATGAAAATAACAAGATTATTTAACAATAAATTATAATATGAACGACAATAACTCAAAATCTTGCCGGTTAACTTTTATTGATCCGAAATTCATAATATTGCTTCTGTTTGCAATCTTCAAATATCTTGGAAGCAAGATACCGTCAGGTGGCCGAACCAAGAGCGACATAAGTGTACAAATCAAGAATTGTATGGTTGCCTCTGTGAGTTTACAAAATGATTGGAAATCCAATCAATCAACGAACAAAAATCCGAGATCCGTGCTGTTATTGCCAGCGAAATAAGCTACCTGTTTGATGTTCCTGCATGTTTCACCTCAGCAACCCATCACTACTGCATAAGTTGAAATATGCCATATTTTGCCCAGAGACGATGTTTTATAAGAGAGAATAAAAGTAAATCTGGTTGCACGGTTATTTTATCTGCCAGGTTTGGTAGCCCAAAATTTTGTGTTTACTTCGAGTGACTTTTAATTTGAGCGAATACTTTTTTGATCGATTCGGTAGTATCGGTATTCAGTAGGGGAAATGGCTCTAATGTTGGGCTATGGATCTAAGATTGGGCCCATGGCTAAAAATCTGCTATTTATCAATTTTATCTAGATGAACGCGTCATTGAGGCGGTACTAACAACAATCAATACGAAACTAACGATTTTAAATTGGCTCACTACTTGACTAGCCTATTGGTCCCAAGCAAACGATTAACGTACCCCGTTCTAGTCAAAATTCTATTACTACACAATGTTTGTTTTGATTCGCTACACGGTGTTTCGTGGAAACCCATTAATGGGTAAAAAAATACCCATTTTCAAACCATGTATGCAGCTGTCAAAAAATGGGGGAATTTTGAAATCATAAAATGGGTGAAAAAATACCCATTTAAAGAATCAGTTCACGGTGGAATAATGGGTATATTTTTTACCCATTAATGGGTGAAAAAACACTTCGAAATTTTATCGTCTCATTTCCGTCACCGACTCAACAGTTGCTGTCCGCAGCATATTTGGCGAAAATAGACGATCTCCGGAAAACGTTAGAATCCAAAACGTTGGAGAGCCTTACGGATAAGTCAATACATATTATCCAATATGGTATAATAATATTTCGCGTAAAATTTAAGCGGAACACCTGCATTTATTTTCAATGTTTTAGAAAGTTTTTTATATTAACGAGCGCTTGCATCCTCCATTTGTAAAAATGGGTATTTTTTCACCCATTTTACGGTTAACATAATATAAGAAAATGGGTGAAAAAACACCCATTTATTGACAGACCACCCATTTACCCATTTATGAGTAAACCATAGTTTACCCATTAAATGAGGAGGGGCACTTTTAGCGGTAATGGGTATTTTTATACCCATTAATGGGTTTTCGCGAAACACCGTGTATGAAAGTTTGACAGATAAAATGAGGGTTTAGTGGATTTTCCTATGTTTCGAGGGGTAGATCGATTAGCTTGGGACCGAAGAGAGTACCAGAGCTGATTTGTGATCATCCGATGGATTGTCCTCGGGACGGCCATTTCGGAGTAGGTTTCCGTAGGGACTCTAGTGTCCATAGAAGTGTATGGGAAGGAACCCCTATAATATGGGTATCGTAATTCATGAATTTCCAGCAGGAGACTGTTTATCATAATTTTGTGGTCATCCGATGGATTGTCCCCAGAACGGCCATTCCGGAGCAGGTTCCGTAGGGTCTCTAGTGGCCATAGAAGTTGTTTGGAAGGATGTTCCTACAATATGGGTATCAGAATTCTTTAATTTTCAGTAGTAGACTGTTCATCATATTTTCGTGGCTATCTGACAGATTGTCCCCGGAATGGGATGGATAGAACGCTCTTTATTTTTTTTTTTTATTTAAAAAAGAAACTTTTCTCATCCTTTGTTTCTATCTGACTAAATGTCCATGGAACGGCTATACGACTATACGTTGCGTTTGTGTTTGCGTGGAGTTGACTGTTAACCCATATTAAAAGGTCAAGTTTACACGGTAAGAAAAAATACTCAAAATTAAGTTTAAAAAAACTCAACGCTGGGTTCTATCATTTGAGGTCCGCCGTTGAGTGAATCAGAAAAGCGGCGTTGGTTAAAATTTACTCAACTATTGAGTAATAATAAATGAACTCAAATATAAGTTTATTTTCATTGAGGTTGCTTTTATGCGGCTTTAATCATTTCATTTTCACAAGCGTTGATAGACGAGTGGTCAACACACGGGCCCCGTAATCTCAACGTCCATGGTTCGGTTCCAGTCTGCTCCGTTTTATATTTTTTTGTCAACGCCAGGATTACTCAAAATTGAGTTTTTTTCTTCAACTTAATTTTACCTAGCCCCACGGAAGTCACGTGATGAGTGAAAGGAACTCAATTTTGGGTACTTTTTTCTTACCGTGTACGTCATCGCAACGCAAACAGATCCATTGTGCGTGGCCCTTAACACTATCGGACAATTATTTCGTCCAGGGAGTCGCGTGAGTCGAAAAAAAAACGAACAACAACCGACAACCCCAGCAAACGATTTGAGCTGATTATCTTTCAATGTTTGTTTGGGCATTCAACGGGCGTTTTTATTCATTAGCAATCCACAGTGGACTGGGAAACAAAACATATAGGGTAGATAACGGCTTAGGCTCTGAACCATTTGGAGGATTATTTTAACTGTTGGTTAAAATTTGACAGATGGGAAGTTATCGATTAACCCTGCTATCCGAGCGTAGTTACTTCTGACAGACAAGAAGTTAAATTTTGACAACCTTGGCTAAGTTCTTCTCGAAAACCGGTCGATCGACAGCACAGGGATTTTCGAACATAGAAAATAACTTTCGAAATGTCACTTTTAACCACGAGTTGAATTTAACTCGGCAAATGGTTCACAACCTTAATATAATAGGTTAAGGTATTGCCGAAGCCGATTTTTCCCTTACTTTACATACACAATCACACTTCGTAAGGAACGCTCTCACCCACTCACACGAGCAACTGTTACTACCGTATGCGTGATAATGTTTGCACCATTGAGCAAGGTCAAAATTTAAAAAAATACCCATTTTCAAACCATGTATGCAGCTGTCAAAAAATGGGGGAATTTTGAAATCATAAAATGGGTGAAAAAATACCCATTTAAAGAATCAGTTCACGGTGGAATAATGGGTATATTTTTTACCCATTAATGGGTGAAAAAACACTTCGAAATTTTATCGTCTCATTTCCGTCACCGACTCAACAGTTGCTGTCCGCAGCATATTTGGCGAAAATAGACGATCTCCGGAAAACGTTAGAATCCAAAACGTTGGAGAGCCTTACGGATAAGTCAATACATATTATCCAATATGGTATAATAATATTTCGCGTAAAATTTAAGCGGAACACCTGCATTTATTTTCAATGTTTTAGAAAGTTTTTTATATTAACGAGCGCTTGCATCCTCCATTTGTAAAAATGGGTATTTTTTCACCCATTTTACGGTTAACATAATATAAGAAAATGGGTGAAAAAACACCCATTTATTGACAGACCACCCATTTACCCATTTATGAGTAAACCATAGTTTACCCATTAAATGAGGAGGGGCACTTTTAGCGGTAATGGGTATTTTTATACCCATTAATGGGTTTTCGCGAAACACCGTGTATGAAAGTTTGACAGATAAAATGAGGGTTTAGTGGATTTTCCTATGTTTCGAGGGGTAGATCGATTAGCTTGGGACCGAAGAGAGTACCAGAGCTGATTTGTGATCATCCGATGGATTGTCCTCGGGACGGCCATTTCGGAGTAGGTTTCCGTAGGGACTCTAGTGTCCATAGAAGTGTATGGGAAGGAACCCCTATAATATGGGTATCGTAATTCATGAATTTCCAGCAGGAGACTGTTTATCATAATTTTGTGGTCATCCGATGGATTGTCCCCAGAACGGCCATTCCGGAGCAGGTTCCGTAGGGTCTCTAGTGGCCATAGAAGTTGTTTGGAAGGATGTTCCTACAATATGGGTATCAGAATTCTTTAATTTTCAGTAGTAGACTGTTCATCATATTTTCGTGGCTATCTGACAGATTGTCCCCGGAATGGGATGGATAGAACGCTCTTTATTTTTTTTTTTTATTTAAAAAAGAAACTTTTCTCATCCTTTGTTTCTATCTGACTAAATGTCCATGGAACGGCCATTTTGGAACAAGTGAATAATCAAGTGGTGGTGAAAAATTTAGGATGAAAACTCGTGCAATTTTTATTTTCTTGAGTTTTCCTGCTATTCAACCTCTCTGGGGGCATAAACGTTGTGGATTAATGTTAAACGGAATTTTTGGAGTCTCTGCTGTGCTAGAAATAAACTCACATTTATCTGGACTTTTAATCCTCATAAAACATTGTTGAAACATTAGAAGCACATAAAATGCAAACAAAAAAATTAGCAGTTATCGCAAATTTCTTGCCAGTGCTGATTGCACACAGGTCTTGAGCATGACTTACACATCTTCCTGGTCTTCCTACACTTGTTGTCTTCACTTTTGCAGATATGACAGAAGCCAACTTGTGGCAACTACCTGCACGTTTCGAAAAAACATGTAAATTTAAGTACTCTGAGGCTGACATATACGAGCGTCAATTTTGACATCGAATTCAGTCATAACAGACGCGAAATTCAACTCAATCAAACGAACTTTTCGTCAAGTAACGATCTTTTCAGTCTGGGAGTATTCAATTCAACATTAAATATTTGTTTGTCTTAAAGGATTATGTCTAGAGTAACATTTGAAATGGGCCTATGTCCAAAACGTAAACAAATCGAGTGTTGATACCATTCTTTAGCACCGCTTGATAGCTACTAATCGTATAGGAAAGATCCGCATAATCGAGAAAAATCATTAAAAAAAACTCGATTATTGAAACGGCCGATCAAAGAAATTTTTCTATCAACGAAGCGTGCGTGCCTACGCTAAAACGGCCAAGCATTCATTTATTTATTTTCATTGATAAGCATAGTGACGTAGAAGGGCCGATGATAGAAAATTTTCAAACCAAAGCTAGGCCCTACTGCATGAGGCAGG